ACGGCGATGATATTCTCGGAGGGGTGCCAAGCTGTATGCAGGATCTTTTTGCTAAAGTCCAGACTGTCCACGCTAATTTCGTCTTTCCTCCGCTTGCCGCCCACGCAGACCTTGCGGGGCTTGAGGATGGCGCGGGGTTTGCTGTTCTCCCGCGACGCCTCCAGCGTCACATCGCGCTTGGTGTTGCGGTCAAACATGCGGAAGAAGTTGTTGTAGGAGCCGGTCATGATGACGCTGCGAGGAGGGAGGAGGACGGGTCACCGCGTGAGGTCCCAGACCCGGCCCTGCCGCCCCCACGGCTGCGATGCCCCCAACCCGCCCAGCACAAGCCCCAACCCCAACACCCGGGAGCTCGAGCCCGTCCTGTGCCCCAGGGCTCGGGTTGGCCAGGGAAGCTGTGTCCCCATGTCCCCATGTCCCTCTCCTCAACCCAGGAATGTGCATGCAGAGGCAGGATAACAACATGTACGGAGATGAGTCTTTACAGCAAAGATTGAGCTGACCTCAACCCAATGAGTTTCGCATCTTTTAGAGGCCAACTGCCTCGTGTCCAGAGGCAAACCGAGTGTCCAGGGGCACAGCGAGGTTTGGATCCGGGCTGGAATTTGTGTTGTTAACTCGCTCTGATGGTTCAGAGTCAAAACCGCGGTGATCCTGCCAGGGCGGCTGATTTCTGCCCCTGGTTCACGGTCATTGATGGGGGATTGCTGTCCCCCCCAGATTTTGTCAGTCTGGAGCCAAACGCCTCACCGCCGTTCTCTGGGTGCGGGTGAAATGGAGACAGGAGCCGAACCCGGCCAGGAGAGCGCCAGGACCCCACCAGTCCCCCTCAGCAGCACCTGGATATGGGGTGGGGGTTTGGGTGACCCCTGTTGTCCCCCCAGGAAAACCCCCCAGACCCCACACCCAGCCGCAGGCCTGGGAAGGGACCATGGGGGGACACGGGAGCCCCCCCGCCATCCCGACGGATGCACTGGGTGCCGGGGCCGCACTGCCGCTCACCTGTCGGACCCGTTCCAGACGCACTCGAACTTGTCGAAGATGCAGTCGTTC